AAAAATTTCAAGTTACATCATAAGGGTTAAATTGAATAAAAATATATAGTACATGGATTAAATTGAACAAAATTGAAATGCTAAGGAATTAAATTAAAAAAATTTTAAAAAATATAAATATTTAAGTAGATGATAAATATATTTATTTATAAGCTAAATATTTAAGTGTAAATGATTTATGGTGTTAAAAAATATATAAATATTTTCTTACTTGATTATTTGATTTTTTAATATATATATTAATTTATCTTCTTTGTAAAAATTAAGTTTGAATAAATAACTTACATTATGTTGAAATAAAATAAAATAAAAAGACTAAATAAATTCTTTTTTTTCTATTTATAATAGTATAAAAATTTAAACTTTATTTAACTTAATTTTTAATTTGAGCTGAACTTAAATGAGCAAATAAAATAAGTTGATTTAGTTACAACTTTTACAATTTACAAATATCCATTCTTTTGGAATTATTCAATCCTTACTCAATTTATCTTTTTTTAAAATTTACTCAAAGTTTCTTATAAAATGATTTTATTTAAGTTTAAATGCCATAACTAAATTTTTTTAAATTTAAATTTAAATTATTAATTTGGATATACAAAAAATTTGTAAATATAAAATAAAATGATGTAAATAGTTACTATTATATTTAACTCTATCAGCTATAAATGTAATTTTTAATCTAAAAAAATTTAAAGTAAAATATATAACTTAAAATATTAAACAAAATAAAAACATAAAAAAAATAAAAATTAAAGAGGTAAAGTAGCTCAGATTCTATGAGTGTAATAAGAGATTTGTCATATCCAAAACTAAAAAGTCAAAATAAAGAATTATTTTTATAATCATCATTAACTCCATATTTTTTTTTTATTTTTAAAAGAATCAATCTATTTTGCTAATTTGAGTTCAGTTTAAGTTAAAAATTAAGTTCAATAAATTTTAAATTTTTATACTATTATAAATAGAAGAAAAAAATTATTTAATTATTTATATTATTTTATTCTAACATAATGCAAGTTATTCATTTATATTTGACTTTTGGTATAAATTTTTTTTTTCAAATTTTTTGAATATAAAAAGAATTTAAACTTAATTTTTACAAAAAAAAAGAGAAATTAATGTATATATGTATTTTAGAACCTAATAATCAAGTAGGAAAATATTTATATATTTTTTAATACCATAAATGTTTTACACTTAAATATTTAGAATATTAATAAGTACATCTATCTTGTACTTTAATATTTATATTTTTTAAATATTTTTTTCAATTTAGTCTCTTAACATCTCAATTTTATTCAATTCAATTCTTAAATTATAATTTTTTTAATTCAATTTAGCCCTTATAACTTGGCACAATTTTTTTGAAAATTTTTTAATATGCAACGTGGCACTGACATGTCAACATATCAATAGCCACGTCAGCACAATCCCCAAATTTGAGGGATTAAATTATTGTGATTTTGAGTAGAGAGATTAAATTAAACAAAATAGAGGGACTTTTCAAGTGTTTTGATCAATTTAAATATCCTAGTATAGGAACTTTCTAGGTATTTTGACAAATTTAAACCCACTTGTTCCAATTCATTTGTTTGTACTCTGTACTACTAACATTAATTAAGGATACGGTTCAACGATGAACTTTGACATTTTTCTTTTTACAATATAGAAATTTTTTCTTTTTAAATCGTAAATATATAAATAAAGAGTTATATGTAAATATATAATTCAAACAAATTGATCATTCAAATTTTGTAACCAAATTTATTTCAAATTTTGTAACCAAATTTATTTCAAATTTTGTAATGACTAATTGATTAATTTTGGAAGAAATGCATAGCCGCTTATATTTTTGCGAATCACAATGTATTTGATTTTTGTTAAAACCATAATATTATTAAATAGCTGAATTTTTATTTGGCCACAAAAAAAATCTGAACTTATCTGCCAAATGTTTCTAAACCTCGCCCCATTAGATGGTTTTGCATCACCTTCACTATTAATTTTTTAAGAAAGGTAGGAATACATTATTATAAGAAATTATTGTACAATTCACTATTGACATATAGTTATAAAGTTCAAATAAATTATATACAATATGTTAACATTAAAAACTAGTAGGGATTTACAGTTTTTGTAAATCTTCTAGAATTATGAAGAATTTTTATATTGTTTGTTGTTTATAATTACTATAAACTCTTATATTAGTCTTTTAAAATTTTTATAATTTTCTTTTCTAATTGTGGGCACATGTTATGATAATTAATTTTCTCGTTTGATTACGTTAAAAAAAGACACAAGAACACAACCTTTTTATGTAGCACATGATTACTAAACTATTGGAAAAGAATTTTCTTATCATGAACAGATAAGTTGTTTAAGTTAAAAATTATGAGTATTTGAAGGTGTCACGATCCACACTAATCCTCTAAGATATTATCCGCTTTGACTCGTAGGGTGCATGATTTTATCCTATAAAAAGTGCCTCATAAGTTAAATGTGGTGTAAACTCTTATATACCTAGTATCACTCTAGTACATAGTCAATGTGAGATTCATGGTTCCTTTAAGATAATAATTCCCTTACTAGAGTTTCTCTTTGATGTGAAACTTTGTGGGTTTACCCACTGAGAGTATTATTTCGACGATGTGAGATTTATGTTCACACGAGAACTTTGACATCTTTCTCCATTTAAACAAGGGCCTACTATTATTAGTGGCACATTGTTAGTACTTAGAGACCGTTTTGATATCAACTGTCATGAATTACACTTTTTTACTTAAATATGCGATAGTATGTGGAGCGCTTGAATAGACGTTTTCATACAAACCAACCAATAACTCATGTATATCTAAACTAACATCAATAATAACCACAAATTAATTTAAAACAATGCAATCTTGAAATCATAAGACATAACAAATGTCATATATGCAACCATTAGAGCCGTATAAATAAAATATTTTATTAATATCAAGATAAGTATAAAGGGTCTAAAACACGTCATCGTTGGGCTATAAGGACAGTTTTGAATGGTTCGCTATAGACATACTTTGACTAGTGAGACAACCCAACAATTCGTTGACGGCTTATTTTTTATAAAAAATTTACGAGATTTTACAAGTATTTCGTCAAGAGTCGTTACAATGCTTAAGATGTAGATATCCTTTTCCTAAGGGGTCTTCCCTTAAAGACTTCACAAATATTTCTAGAGATATTACCAAGTGCCATTATAATGTTTAAAAGGGACATCTCCATTGAGAGTACAAAATACCTAATCTCTTAGACAATTTTACCCTGTCATAATCCTATACAGGATTGGGTCACGACACTGGGTCAATGCTAGATTGTTTAGTTTTGGTAAGCAGTTTAGGACTCCTCAAATGAACTGTTAATGTTAGAATCGGAAGGCTTTTACATTTTTAACCTAAAAGCATGTTTGGCCTAATTTTCTTTTAGCTTAAAAGTTATTATAAAATGCTTATGAAAATAATAACTTTTAAAATTAAACTAAAACTATTTGGTAAATTTACTTTTTATAAGCTCTTTTTTATAAATAAGTTGTTTAGCAAAATAACTTATATAAACTTTAATTTTGATTAAAATTATTATAAAAAATATTTAATAAATCAGGAAAAAATTGAATCAAATAAAAAAAGCTAAGTGTGAAACAAATATAATTTTTCCTATAATATTATGAATTGCTGAAAGATAAAAGAAGAATATAAAAAAATATTTGCTGTTATTTTTTAAAGATTAACTTAAAATTTATGATATTTGGAACTGAACAAAATTGATATTATATATAAGGAAGAGAATCTAAGGTGGTATTAATAATGGATTCAATTGAGTTAGAAAAATCAAGTTTTGCCAGATTTAGCAACCCATTTTCCTATTGAAATTATCACGCTAATTCCATGCAAGTGTATCAAGACCTTAATGTTTTTACCAACAAAATTCCCCTTCATGAATAAAAAGGTTTTGGCTTTTATATATTTTTTTTCATTTTTAATGGGCTAGTTATTTTGTGTTGTTAGCTTAAATGTGAAATTCACTGTTAAGAAGTTTAGGGATTCTGCAATTCCTGTTGTTAAAGGAATTAAAGGCTATTTTAATTTTCTTTTAATGCAATCTTTTGTTATACATAAAAGAAAAAATTCTTTAAAACTGAGTTACCACAAACGAGTACAAATATTGACTTGTCAATTTTCATTTAATTTATCTTAACAATCATTGACTTATTTGACTAATTATTTCAATAATAACAACAAATATAATATATATTAGAAAGAAGTTAAGAACAAATAAACATAATATAATTATCATATCGAACAAGAAATTGAAAAATATCAAATAATAAAGATAATTTTCAAAGAAAAAAATGATAGAAAATAAAATAAAAAATAAAACAAAAAAATAATACTTGAATATAATTTTGAATTTTAATTTTTTTCTTAATTTTTATAAAAATAAAAAAAAATTCTAAACAGATGATTTGCAGAAAAAGGAAAAAAAGAGAGAGATCGATTGGGAGAGAGAAGTATTTTTTTAGAAATGATCTTTTTGAAAAAATAAATAACTTTTTTAATAAGCTAACATATTTTTTTAAAGAAAAAGCTATTATTTGAAATTTTTTAATTTTTTTTAAAAATCGTTTTTTAAATTTTTTTATAAAATATTATTTGACATAGTTTTTATTTTTAAAAAATAAAAAAATTTAAAATAAATTAAGCTGAATAGCACTAAATATCATTTTGTTGAAATCATTGACTAAGTAATTTTCAGTTGAATTGCCATCAGGAATCACTAGTAAAATCAATGGGAATTGAAGACAATTCACATGCGAGAAAATGAAATGAATCTCGGCCCACATCCCTTTGAGGCCGTGACAGCCAAAATCGTGGTCGTGATCAGCCCTTTAAGAAAAGGGGCACGTAATCCAATCTTATTTCCTACTTTAAGTAACTAGAAGTCCTTAAACTGGCCATTAGAAACTGGAAGGTTCCTTCACCGCCAAATAAACATGGCAGAGTCAGACCACCTTTTTTCATGGCCTCCCAGCTTAGATTTGATTTTAACGTGTCGTTTCTTTCGTTTTCTCATTAATTTTATGGAGTCTTTGACATCAAGCACACATGTTTTCTCCTCGTGAAAAAAGAAGGAAGTGGGAATCTGTAAATTTTAAGAATCAATTACAAATGAGACCTGTGCTTTAAAGGTTAGTATTTTCCATCTTCTTCAATGCCATTTCTTAGTTTAACTCTAACTACTATCAACCTTCAATATAAAGATGCCCCGGTCCCATCTCCTACGATAACTCCCAAACCCACCACGTATCGGAGTCTTTCATCAAAACCAAGGCTAAGAAAGCATTTCAAAACTACCGGCATTTTCCACTTTTCTAAGACCCAAGACCTTTCTACCTCTCTTCTTGCTAATTCCGCTTCTGGGTTTCACCGTTTTAAGGAAATGGTGATGGTTTTTGATGGTTACATCGTTGGGACGTTTTTGGTTTCCCTTCTTGGCTTTGTTTTTCTTTTCATTTTGCGGCATAATAATAACAGTAGAAAGAAGAAAATTGAGAAAGGTTCTAGGGAATTCAAGATCCAAACCGATGCTGTTAGCGGAACCGAAATAGGAGAATGCTGGCCGGAAAATGGTTCCAGCACTGACGTCATCATTGTCGGTGCCGGTGTTGCTGGTGCTGCTCTGGCTCATACACTTGGCAAGGTGATATCTGTTTTCTCTCAGTTATTTTTCTTCTGTTGCATAATTTAATTATTTATGGTGTCGCATTTTGTTGATTAATTTTGTCGAATGAGGAAATCATTGAAATTGAGTAAAGTTGGGATTTTTTTATGAGATTTCATCTTTAAGAAAAATCTGGGTTGGCATTGCTTTGGCTTGAAATGAAGTTTGATTATTGCCTGCACGTAAGCTCACAAGGATACGGTTCACGAAATTGACGTGCTTGGGATTATATTATTGTAACAATAAATCGGTCTGGAGTTTGACTTTGATGACGTAATTGCCATGAAAAAGAAACTTTTTTTAAAATTTTTTTCCTTTTTCTTTTGACAAATTAATTGTATTTTTTAGATTTTAATTGATCTTTACTGTAGATTTGGACCTTCTGCTTGAATGTAGATTTGGAGTTTGAGATGTATTGCTGGGTGGTTAAACAGTGCAAACTGTATCAGACTGTTAACTATGGAGTTTTCAATGTGTAAATAACTTTGCTAATTGTATGTAGTACAAAAGGTCCATGATATGTATTGTTGTCTTCTTTTCTTGTAAGATTCAACTACATTTTAAGAAATCCTAGACATAGATTAACTTGGTTTAAGGGGCAGATTCAAGTAATTGACTTGAACTTTCTTGTGTTCCAGCTTTCCATGTGTTTGCTTTGGCTGTGGAAATTGCACCTTACTTGATTTCTGAAGCATTGGATTGATATAAGGGCTTAAACTGGTTTCCATTTGCAATGATCCTTTTTAAGCTATTTATTGCTAAGTCAAACTATAACCTTATTGCTAATTTTAGGATGGAAGGCGTGTTCATGTGATAGAAAGAGACTTGACAGAACCAGACAGAATTGTTGGAGAACTGCTTCAGCCAGGAGGATACCTTAAATTAGTTGAATTGGGCCTTGAGGGTATGCATTGAAATATATATGCATCTTATTAAATTGGGAACAAACTTTCGTGTGGCTAATAGCTAGTTAGTTCTGAGTTGGATCAGTTTTCATGAATTGTTTTTCTTAACATGTAAAATGCAATTAATATCTAATCTCATTACAGATTGTGTGAAGGAAATTGATGCCCAGAGAGTGCTTGGTTATGCTCTCTTCAAGGATGAGAGAAATACTAAATTGTCATATCCCTTGGAGAAATTTCATGCAGATGTAGCTGGGAGGAGCTTCCATAATGGGCGTTTCATACAGAGGATGAGAGAAAAAGCTAGTACTCTTCCCAAGTAATCTATCCTGCTTCCTGGATTCATGATGCATATGAATTAGTTGCCAACTTACTACAGCATTGTCAATTTTGCATATTTTTCATTTTACATTAGGTAAATAGTTACCATTAATGTCCTTCCACCATGAATGTTAAACTTTTCAGTGTACGACTAGAGCAAGGAACAGTAACATCTCTCCTTGAAGAAAATGGGACAATTAGAGGGGTGCAGTACAAAACTAAGGATGGTCAAGAACTAAGAGCTTATGCTCCTCTTACTATTGTATGTGATGGTTGCTTTTCAAATCTGCGTCGCTCTCTTTGCAACCCCAAGGTGAAGTTGCCATCTTATAATCATTATATAAATACTCTCTTCTTATCTAACAATCATTATAAAGAATCATGGTCCCAAGACAGTTGTCTATTGAGCTACAATATCTGAGTGTTGCGTTGTATGCTTGTATACTAAACCTAATCCTTTAATTTATATGTGCTTCTGTTGCTTACAATGTTCCAGTAGGAAAATAACTGTAGCATTTTTAACTTTTCAACAGGTGGATGTGCCCTCTTGTTTTGTGGGTTTGGTCCTAGAGAACTGTGAACTTCCATTTTCAAATCACGGGCATGTTATCCTAGGAGATCCTTCACCAATCTTGTTTTATCCAATCAGTAGCACAGAGGTTCGCTGCTTGGTCGATGTGCCTGGGCAGAAAGTACCTTCCATTGCTAATGGTGAAATGGCAAATTATTTGAAGACCATGGTGGCACCACAGGTATCTGTTAATGTTGGTGCATGATTTTGGATTGTCAACTTATGATGAAAAGCCCTGTGTCTTTGTAGTTGCACCATAAAATTTAACTTTCATCCTTTGTTCATGATCAATCACTTACCTGCTGCACGCATTACCTTGGTTTAATTAAACAGAGTGTCTGTTTCAGGTTCCACCTGAGCTTCGTGATGCCTTCATAGCTGCTGTTAATAAAGGTAATATTAGAACCATGCCAAACAGAAGCATGCCAGCTGATCCTTATCCGACTCCTGGAGCACTTCTAATGGGTGATGCTTTCAACATGCGTCATCCTTTAACTGGAGGAGGAATGACTGTGGCATTATCTGATATTGTTGTACTTCGGGATCTTCTTAGGCCTCTGCATGACCTGCATGATGCAGCTTGCCTGACCAAGTATCTTGAATCATTTTACACATTACGCAAGGTTAGTTGGCTTTTTATGCTATGATCTTGCTGTAGTAACCATAGCTCTTTCACCTTTTGAATTTGATTGTGCCATATATCATAAAGCAGTTTATGGCGGTAACTAGCACAGGTTTTGTTTTGTTTGTATGTAACCAAGTAAAAGATTAGACCAACATTTTAATGGACCTAAATATGAGTCTAAGATAGTTGCATTGCATTTTTGTTTTAATTACAATTATCATTACAGAAAGAGTTGTTTCATCTGTTTGATCATCCTATTGACTGGGATTTGGTGTCTTCTTCCAAAGTCTGAAATAATGATCTGATGATGTCCTTGATATAAAGGACGAAATTTCTTGATTCTAGGTTCCACCAATGACATTAAACCCTGTCTTTCCCAACCTGAATGGGCTTTGAGGTTAAATAGACCATCAGAGATGATATTTTCAAATTTTTGCCCTTTGCTCATGACATGATAGTGATGTTTGTTTCAGCCTGTGGCATCTACAATAAATACTCTGGCTGGTGCCCTATATAAGGTGTTTTCTGCTTCCCCTGATCAAGCAAGGAAGGAAATGCGCCAAGCCTGTTTTGACTATTTAAGCCTCGGTGGTATCTTTTCAACAGGGCCAGTGGCTTTACTCTCTGGTCTAAACCCTCGCCCATTGAGTCTAGTTCTTCATTTCTTTGCTGTGGCAATATATGGAGTTGGTCGCCTGCTCCTACCATTTCCTTCACTTCGACGCATGTGGATTGGAGCTAGGTTAATTGCGGTATGTATTTTGCATCCTTTATGCTGTTGATGGCGCATTTTTTTGGCCTTTCAACTCCCCTTTGCTTCCTTTTCTTTTCCTTCCATTCTCTATTTCTATAAATCGAAATATTCTCACTGTTAAATTATTAGACATACTACTTGTGTTGTGCCTGTTATTTTTGGTCCCATCAACGGATTTGTTTATATCATTCTTGCTGGTAAGACTTGGCAAGTTGGCAATATAATTGGCAAGATAGCATCATTCTTTACAATGAAGCTAGAATATCACAAAAGTCCCAGGTTTTAACAGCCACAATTGGGTAATACATTGTTTCTTTGTAATAACTTCATGGTTTCTTCCAGGAGAGAACATAAAAAGAAAGAATAGAAAAAAAAAAAAGAATAACCCTCTAACCCAACATATGAAATAGTTTTCAAATCCTCATTGAATGGGAGGTCCTGTTGTATTCTGTAGAAAAGCATAATAGCTGCATATTGTATACAATCGCCACTTTGTGTGAAACTTGTTTTTCCCCCTTTCTGCAGACTGCATCAGGTATTATTTTCCCCATAATCAAGGCAGAGGGAGTGAGGCAGATGTTCTTCCCTGCGACAGTTCCAGCACTATATAGAGCTCCTCCCGGTAATTGATATGCCCCATCATGGTAGCTTAAGCTCTCTAGCACCCAAGATTAAAATGCTAGAACTGCCTTCGTCTTTTGCTTAGACAGACCAGTGCATGGTAAATGTATATGGAGACACTGTACGGCTGTGTTAGATTAGGTACGGCTAGGAACTATTCTTTCATTATATGAACAAAAATTCTCCCAAACTGAAATGCTTTAATTAAAAAATAGTTATTATGTCTGTAGTATAACATTCTGAAAAAAAAAAAAAGATTCAGCGTGAATTAACTGAATAGATTTCAACAATCAGAACATCAAGGGAAGAAATATTACTTCTTGAACGGAACACAAGGGATGCTGGAAGAAGGCCTGCAGCCATCAACCTGCATGGAATAACATGGTTGTGTAGAGTTTTTTCCAGAAAAACAGACAACTGAAACTTGACCTGTTTAGCAACTTTGGATTGAAATGATGATGACTTACATGTTATTAACTGACTTTACTGGTGGGTATGATAGCCATGCGTTTGATTTACCCCTTTAGTTGAAGGAAATCAACGAATCTAGTGAATTTGCATTTTGCATGGCCAAGTCTTGTGGTTTTTGGGAACCTCCCAAATCCAATTGTAAATCGTAATTGTCCTTTATGGCCTTTCAATGATGGCGAGCAAACAATTGTTCAGCATGGCATCTTCCAATCCTATGTCAACCTGAAATGATCTCTCAAGATTTTGGCTCTCAGATCCATTCTTTATGCCCAACTTGTCCAGAGCTAGTGCTATAGACTAGTAATGAGATGTCCTTTTCTATCGTCCGCTTCCTGAATCAACCGTACCCTTCTCTTTCATCCACACTTGTATTGTCATTCATACCCAAGAGGGATCTATAAACTGATCCAACTTGAGCCAGGTTGCTTCATCACCCCAACATTTTTCATGGATTCCCTCACTCTAGCTGCTTCTTCCCATTGACCAGCAGCTGCATAAATGTTTGACAAAAGCACATAAACTGATGGATTATTTCGCTCTGTTTCAAGAAGAATCCCAGCAATAGTTCTTGCAAGCCTTAGATTAGTATGAGCTGCACAAGCACTGAACAAGGTCCACCAGATATTAGAATGAGCTTCAATATGCTGACTGTCTATTACTCTTTCTGCTTCATCAAGATACCCTGCCCGACCAAGAAGGTCAACCATGCAAGAAAGGTGATCTTCTCCAGGCACAAAACCATAATCATTTACCATGGAATTGAGTATCCCAGTTGCATCATCAACCAAACCAGCATGACTGCAAGCAGAAAGAACAGAAGTAAATGTTGCCTGATCAGGTTTGGCCCTACCTGCATCTTTCATTGCCTTGAAACAATGGACAGCTTCTTTTCCTTCTCCATGCTGTGCAAAAGCAGAAATGAGGGAATTCCAAGAGATTGTGTCCTTTACAACCATCTCATTAAACACTCTCAAAGACCAATTTAAAGTGCCACATTTTGCATACATTGTGATTAATGCATTGCCTAAAGATGTTTCTAAAAAAAGATCATGCCTGAGGATGTAACCATGAAGTTGTTTCCCATGACTCAAGGATGAGATGTTGGCACAAATGCTTATAGCAATGCTAAGTGTGTATGCATTTGGTCTGAGGTTTAACATTAATAGCTGGGATAATTGCTCTAAGCCCTGAGCTGGGGACCCATTGAGAAAGTATCCAGATATAACAGTATTCCAGGAAATCAAGTTCTTGGGATACATTTGAAACAATTGATAGGCCTGATTCATCTTCCCATGCTTAGCGTATGAAGAAACCAATGCATTGGAAACCTGGATTCTGGAAATGAGTCCATTTTTAAACACAAAGGCATGAATCATCTCACCCATTTCTATGAACTCTGAGCATGACAGTAAACTTCCAAAAGTGAACTCGTCCGGTTCAATCCCTGACCTCTGCATTTCCAAGTAGACCAAAAATGCTGATCTACCAGAGTTTCCTTGACCATAACTTGATACCATGGTATTCCATGACACAAGATCCTTCTCCTCCAATCTCTCAAAAACTATGTGAGCAGCATTTAGATCCCCACAGCCAGAATACATAGTTATCGCTGCATTGCTCACAGAGGTACACCGTTCAAACCCCATCATAACAGCTTGTGCATATACCTGATCCCCAACTCTTCTAGATGAACATGAACTCATTAGACTCACAAAAGTCAGTTCCGAGGGGCTCAAACAAGCCTCTAACATCTCCATAAACATTATCGATGCATGTTCAACTCTTCCTACATTCATTAAACCATCTATCATCACATTAAAAGTAATCCGATCGCGCACAAAACTTTCTACTTCGTCAAAAACCAGGCACGCATTGACAACATCTTCACAATTAAAATACATAGTAATTATTGCATTAACCACAGAAGCTCTAACCAAAAACCCAGTTTTAACCACCAAAGCCTGCACTTGCCTCCCAAAACCCAAGTTTTCACTAGAACACTCACTCAACACGCTAGCAAAGCTGTAATTATCATGCTTAAAACCCAAAATATGCATTTCCTTAAACAAACCAAACCCAAAGTCTTCATACCCATTTTCCACACACCCCGTAATCATCGCATTCCAAACCGCCACTTCTTTCTTAGGCATCTTATCGAACACATCGCAAGCATAGGGAATTTCCCCCAACTTGGTACACGAGGACAACAACGTAGTCCAAGAATAAACATCTGGGTCTTTAATTTCACTAAAAACCCTTTTAACAGAACCTAAATCTTGGGTTCTCGAATAGAGGAAAAGCAGCGTGTTAGAGACATGAGAGTAGGCTTTAAAGCCGGATTTGATAGCGTAGCAGTGGAGTTTAGTTCCAAATTTAACGTTGCGGAGATTGGCACAGGCTTTGAGAGTGGTGGAGAGAGTGTAGTGGTCGAGTTTAACGTTATCGTGGAGGTACTGAATTTCGTTGAATAGATTGAGGGCATCTTCGTAGTGAGTCGAGCGAGTGAGCTTTGCCAGGTGAGTGTTGAGGTTGATGAGCTGCTGTCGTTGGTTAAAAGTAGTATCAGTTACGGTAGTTAACCATTTCCTGGAAAAGCCGGGGAGCTTTGTCATCAGTTAATTTGCCTTCTCATTTCTATGTGGTGAGGGACGCCTTATTATTAGAACACTAGAAATATTGGGCCCTCAAAAATCTTAGCCCAAGCCTGATCTAAAACTGTCCAAGACGGCCCAATCCTTCACAATTTGAGGTCAAGCCCGTTCCTGGAGGGCTTTCGAGCCTGGGTTTTTAAATTCCGGTTAGCAGCTGCGTATCCTCTCTCGGTCTTCGACCTACAATAACACCACTGTAGACCTGTTTCCCTCCGAGAAATTGCACGAACATGGAAACATCTGCTGAAAAATAGCTTAACGCAGCAAAACAACATATAAATGAGGAGATTCTCTTCCAAAACGCTATGTCTTATCGCCAATCAGCGCCATCTCTCACGTTCCTCGTATCCAAACAACTACCACTTTCACCTCCTTCCCGACAACAACAACAGCCTTAACCTTCTCTCAAGCAATTCAAAACCTGGATTCGGTTTAGTTACCCTTGAAACCAAACAACCCACTCTTAAATCCGACAACGACCGACAGACCGACGACTTTGCTTCCGACGTCGAAAAAATCTACAGAATCCTCCGAAAATTCCACACTCGAGTCCCGAAACTTAACCTTGCGTTACAACAATCCGGCGTCGTTTTCCGCCCCGGTTTAACCGAACGCGTTTTGAACCGTTGCGGCGACGCAGGTAATTTAGGTTACAAGTTCTTCACTTGGGCATCGAAACAACCCGGATATCACCCAAGCTATGAAATTTACAAGGCAATGATTAAAATCTTAGGCAAAATGAGACAATTCGGCGCCGTGTGGGCATTAATTGAAGAAATCAAAAGGGAAAATCCCCATTTCATCACGGCGGAATTATTTATCGTCTTGATAAGGAGGTTTGCTTCTTCAAGAATGGTGAAAAAAGCTATTGAAGTGTTCGATGAAATGCCAAAGTACGGTTGCCCACAAGATGACGCCGTGTTTGGCTCTTTATTAGATGCATTATGTAAAAATGGGAATGTAAAAGAAGCGGCTTTGGTTTTTGAGGAAATGAGGGTGAGATTTCTGCCTAATTTAAAGCATTTTACTTCGTTGTTGTATGGTTGGTGTAAAGAAGGGAGGATTTTGGAAGCTAAACATGTGTTGGTTCAAATGAAGGAAGCTGGTTTCGAGCCTGATATTGTAGTTTATAACAATCTGTTAAGTGGGTATGTTTTGGGAAACAAAATGGGGGATGCTTTTGATTTGTTGAAAGAAATGAGGAAGAAAGGGATTGACCCAAATGCAAATTCGTATACTATTGTGATTCAAGGGCTTTGCAAGGCTGATAGAATGGAGGAAGCAATGAGGGTTTTTGTTGACATGGAGAGAAATGGTTGTCGAGGTGATGTTGTGGCTTATACAACCTTGATAAGTGGATTTTGTAAGTGGGGGAAGGTTGAGAAAGGTTATGAGGTTTTGGATAGGATGATATCGGAAGGGCTTATGCCGAATTCATTGACTTATTTGCATATTATGTTGGCTCATGAGAAGAAGGATGAGTTAGAAGCGTGTTTGGAGTTGATGGAGGAGATGAGGAAGATTGGTTGTGTTCCTGATGGTGGTATTTATAATGTAGTTATTCGATTAGCTTGTAAGTTGGAGGAAGTGAAAGAAGCTGTTCGTGTTTGGAATGAGATGGAAGGGAGGGGATTTAGTCCTGGGGTTGATAATTTTATTGTTATGATTCATGGATTTATTGGGCAAGGGTGTTTGGTTGAAGCCTGTGAGTATTTTAAAGAAATGGCTGGAAGAGGTCTTTTTTGCGTTCCTCAATATGGGATTTTGAAAGATTTGTTGAATTCTTTGTTGAGAGCTGAGAAGCTTGAAATGGCGAAGGATGTTTGGAGTTATATTGTTAGTAAGGGATGTGAGCTTAATGTGTCTGCATGGACAATATGGGTTCACGCACTTTTCTCGAAGGGTCATGTGAAGGAGGCATGTTCTTATTGTCTGGAAATGATGGATGTGGACGTAATGCCACAGCCAGATACTTTTGCAAAGCTTATGAGGGGTTTAAGGAAACTGTACAACAGGCAGATCGCTGCAGAGATTACAGAGAAGGTGAGGAAGATGGCTGCAGATAGAGAGATCACTTTTAAGATGTACAAACGGCGGGGGGAGAGAGACTTGAAAGAAGAAGTGAAGGAAAAAGCAGATGGTAAAAAGAGGAGGGCTCGTCGACGTCGGTGGGGTGGGGCCCGTAGTAGAGCTAACATTTTGTAGTTTGAACGCAAAGCCATTTGTCAAGTAAGAGAACCCACTGCAGAAGTATTGATTAGATTGCTTCTCAGGCAGTGATCGGATTTGCATTTGTTATGCATTGGAGAAGTGAGGAACTCTCTATATTCTTTAGAAGCAGTCAGCTTGTTCTGCAGGTAGTTGGAAAAAACTCCATGATCACTGCTTTTAGATGCCACGTATTCTTTCTTGCAAATTATCACTCTGTTAGCTATTTGTTCTATTTATTACATCTAGCTTTCCTTCCTAAAAATATTTTTTATTCAAGGCTTGGCTGGGCTGCAATTAAGTTCTTATCAGACCTAGAATCCTTAGTCAATGTGGTAGCTTATTTTGAGCATCTGGAATGCTTTGGCATTGGTTGTCATATAACATTATCATAGCTAGTAATTGTATGTGAGCAAATAAGTTAGTATTTTTTTTTATTTATTTCTTGTTTTGCTAGATACTTAGTGGCATGTGGAATTAGAGCAGAATGCTGCAAAAGGAGTTTGCAAATCAGAAGCATAGTGCTTAATTGGTATGCATGACATTTTTTAATGGATCTTTTATAGTGTACACCCTGGTCCTTCTCACAAGCTGTTGATAGTTCTGATATATTGCCACTGATTATGATTAATGGCATAGAGAAGCCTTGTTAAGTTTGAATATATAAAGTTGTTTATGTTGGAGTTTGGGAATTGAATGCCCTCAGGCCTCAACTGTGGATAAATAGCAAATAAATCATTCCCTTTTCCGGAACTAATTCTTTGTATGACAGCACTCACTAGATGGACCAAATGTATAAAAAATATGTTTTGTTTGATTGAGCAAAAAATTGATTTTCAAGCAAATTCTTGGGATATTGAAAGAATTTGCGCATGTTCTTAACAATGATTATTTAGAAGGCAGGTTGGTTAAAATTTGTCAATAATACTGATTTCTGGAAAAATATTAAGTTTGGTGCCTCCTTCTCCCTCTTCATCATTATCATTCCCTAGCATTCTATATCAAGTTTTGCTTTTCTACTAGCAATAATCTTCATTTGCACTACCCTTCCTAGTTGCCCCCATTTACCCAATACATGAAGGGCATTCTGCGTAGTTTTCTTTAGTCAAGTTGAGCTGGTTTTTGTTAAATCTTCAATTGTTTGACTTGTGCGTTTTCCTTCTCATATTTTGGTCGTGCCCTTAGATACCTTTCTTTTACAAAGATTATTGTGGGTTACATATTTTCGATCATTGTATCATACGAATATTTTCTTTGAAAAAAATGATACCTTCCTGATCTTTACTTTTTTCTTTCTTCTAGGAACTTGAAGTCATGTTTACTCCAAATGTTGATGCAACTCTTTGACAATTTTGCTGAGTTCCTACATAAATTGTGTTCATGAAACAGCCCAGCAATGTGGCTCTGGCTTTGTAAACCATCTTTCATGAATGTAGTCATTGAAGATGGAGCAAAATGGTGTCTGCTTGATTCTTCTGACAACATGGGGGACAACTTTTTCTTATAATTGAGATGGTTAGAAGATGCATCAATAACGACCTGATGTAGAGTAAAATTTGAAAAACAAGCAAGCTTATTCTGGGGAAACCAACATTCTAGACTATGCCTAGTTTATTGGTATCAGAATCATGGGGAGTTAGCATTTGAATATATCTATCTAATGGAATTAATTTACCCTGCTAATTTCAATATTTCAGTAGCTCCTGATATTCTGCCATCTCAATGGTGTGTTCTTCAATCACTAATTTACAGTGCACAACTTTAGCAATCATCTTAATTGGAAAACAATGAATAATAGAATTCAGAACTCTTTCTTCCAATAACCAATATTCAAATCTGTAGGTTTTGGCAGTATGCTAAAAGGAAACCCTTATTCCTTTCTGTAGGGTTTTTGCTTTTCTGTAGTTTGCATGCTGTATGGAGATATCATTAACTCTCATGACGATGATCTGTCTCATCAAAGATCTCCTCCTGCATTGACAGAAACAGTTGGGGCATATATATTTTCTTCTCCTTCGAGATTTGGAGGAAAATTCACTAGAAAGAGTTTTTGCCACTTACTTGCAAAAGCTCTTCAATGACATCTTCCAGCGTTATTATGCCAGTAGCGTCCCCATCTCCACTGGTCAGAGGGAGTGTGTCATCATTGATTTGCAGGATTTCTGAGTGGATGTCCCTTGGCCATTTCTTGCCTTTGGATGATGCTCTATGTGAATTTCCATCTAAACTTTTCCACTTTTTGAGCGTTCTTTTGCTTGGTAAACATTTCTCCGGTGGATGCTTTTCACCATCAATGTCCAACCGAACATCTCTGTCCGAGTGTTCACTGGCTGTATGCTCTGTTTTGTTGTTCTGTTTTATTACAACAGCCATATGGCTGTGACCTTTCTGAAACTCATTTAGTATGTCATACAAAGGCATTGTCTCAGGAACCCTAGCACAAATAAAACAAATATTAAAGGAAATCTTACTTTGGGCTTGGTTTAGCAGATGACATTAGCAAATCCTATTACTTCCATTACGTCTTGCAAATTTAATCAATGAAAGTGATATATTTATGAAGATTCCACAGCATAGATACACCATACATGACTGGCACGTGCAGTTTTATGGTAATTTCTTCATAATTCAGCTCAGTGCATACGATCCTTAATGGAGTATCAGCAGGTTATAATGCATATCTTTACCCCTTGTATACCTTGGAATCCTGCGAAGCGTGATGTTTTTTACAGGCACCTCATCTTCTGGATGGATGGTTAACAAGTTCTTCACCTAATATCAGAACTAGAATATTAGTGATCTTTACACATTTGTGACTGTGCAAAGCATTTTAATTGGACTACGGGCAGAAAAGATAACAACAAGAGATGATTCTGCATCAAAATTTGATGATTTTTGAGCTTGCTGTTGCATAATAAGTGAAAACCATGAAATGAAATTGTCGTAAACTGCTGAATAAATGATTGAAAATTACCAATATAAGTCCAATTATGTTTTCTAAACGCTCATGGTAAACAGGTATCCTGCTATGCCCTTTCTCCAGAATTAACTTCATCAAATCCCTGCATGTTCTTGGATTGTAAATAGTTTGTTATGCATCTTAATAAGGGATTGCTGCCTGGAAATCTAGTAATTAGTAAATGCAACTAAAGTTTTTCTTTATCAAGGCTCTTCTTACCTGTCCAATTTAGCATTGATATTAATTGCAAAAGTTTCAGATATAGGAGTCATTGCGTCCATTGCTGCTTTCTCACTTAGTTCAAGTGCTCCTGCTATGATTGTTGTCTCATCACGTGTCAATTCTCCACCCTTGCCAGCCTGCGTAAGAGTCACAACGCGTTACTTTGCTGCAAGCAGAGGGAGGGGAAGTGTTTGAAGCGGTTCATGGTTAAGGACCTCATCATACCTCATTACCATGCAAATCAACAAGCGTTTTCAACTCAGCACGGCGGAAAAGAGCTTCATGCCCTTTCCCCAGGAGAAGGTCTAATAGCTAATAAAACAGAAGTGGTAGTCAGCACTTTCGTTGGGGCATCTACAATCACTACTCAGATATAGCTTGTCAAGTACAGACACAACGATTTTTCACCTTGCTTATTGGATATGCAACCGGAAAACAAATCCAAACTAGAATTTGAACAAATGGAGCAGCTTTTGCACCAATTTCTAGACCATATCGGGTACAAACTGCTTGGGGTACAATCTGCATTATAAAGAACAAAAAGAGACGGGTTGATGTACAAAACTGAAAAAGAGAGCATTTTTTGCTTCGAAGAAAAAGCTCAGAAAAGCCTAAACATGAGACTGAAAACCTGAAATGAAACTAACCTCACCAAACAAAAGTATCAGGGTGACTGAAATAAGAATAGCTCCCCAAGCTGATAGCAAGCTGTCCAGAAAGATTGGAAGGGCCTGTAAAACCAATAAACTAGAGAGTTAGAAAGTTCCAACTGTGAGTGACAAAACTAGATATGACATGAAAGTCCTCCAAGAATTCATACCTCCATAGCTGCAGCATTGCAGATTAATAGAGAGCACAGAAGCAAATGCTGTCTTCTAACAACTGGAAGTATCTTTGCTGTCATAAATAATAAAAACCACAGCAAATGGACTCATTTAAAGAAGAAGAAGAGGATACAATTTATTTACAAAAAAAACGAGGGTATCAGAAGATCATTACTGGCATGTTTACTATCACTAGGCGTTCCAGACCTAGCAACAACTTCAAGATCAACAAGGCTCATAGACATGAGCCCCATCGTGAGTCCAGACATCAACCCAGCAAACAACACTAGACCAGCAACTATAATGATCCGAATAAAGAACCCCGTTTCACAGCAATGATACTCTATGGCCATTCACTTCCTTTCTTTCCTCTTCTTTCTGTCTTTGTTTTTCCCTTTGTTGTCTGATAAGAATTTTTTATGCAAAGTTAACCATAGCTCTGTACATAGCCAAGAAATCTAGTGTACATGAATGAACTTATTCGACAGATAACGACAGAATAAAATATAAGATTCGACTCTTTTTTTGTATGGCCCTGTCAACCGAGATGTCTGGCACTTCACTCTTTTTTCTTCTTTTTGCTTCCTTCAAAATGAAGGAGAGATGGAAAGGTGATCAAGACAACAATGTGAAACAAGTGTTTTGCCTGTTGGAAGTTGGAACACTCTCCTAAACATTTTCTAGTTCTGTTATACCCTGCCAAGTTCTGCCACCTATTCTATTATGTATGATGACTGATATTTAAGATATAACCATGGTGTGCATAATTGTCTCTCTTTTCTGACAAGGACAATTGCAAACTTTAAGTTATTTGATAAAGAGAAGTTAAATTTTAACCCCCTAATCCTCACTTCCTCACCACTTCAAGGTTACATGAAGGAGTTGTAAATGCGAAATTCATTCTTTAGGAATAAGTATAACTCGCAAAGGTTACTTAACCTTTGGAGATGCTTAAAGGGTTTTATGATCCAACCCCAACTTTTTATTTTTTCTCTCTTCTTTAGATGTAGTAATTGCATAAAGACCACAGTAAAGAAAGTTTGATTCTTTGCCAAAAGGGTAATGGCACTATGTTAAGTCGAGGTTACTAGAAAGTCCCTGTCATGACTCCTTAGAACTTGTTTTCTTATCCAGGAAAAGGGAAAACCAAAAGAAAAATAGAAACCCTTTGGCGGAGATTGCTTAGTTTCAATGGAAGGGTGTTGATGTTACTAAGATTCGATGTTGGGTTTTGAGTTATAAAATGAGGAGAAAGGATGGGATTATCACAACAACTTTTTTCTTTTTTTTCCTGTCTTGCTTAAATTATAAGCTCTTTCTGGTGCAAGACACCGAAGGATCCACTTTAGATTGTAACCTGCCATGCCAGCTAGGGTCTGCAAACAAAACCCAAGGACTATGACCCACAATTTGATTACATTGGCCAACATTTGTTCTGGCATCTCGTTCTCACCACTGAAAGACGAAAGTTAATGGATTTGATGACATTGTTCTAAGAATTATTCCAAGAATGGAGTTAGGTCACAACTAGTTGGAGGTGAAACCTGTAAGATGGTATTAAAGCACTTCAGGGGAATTTGCTTTGCTCTATTTCCTATGCCCATCTAGTTAGTTAGAATCTTTCACCCCAAAATTCATTGATCACAGCATATTTTAACAATAGAATGTGATATTTTCCTCTCTTTTATTGATTCGATTTGGTTTTATATATTTGAGCTTCAAGAGAGAAGTTGAAACTCAAGACAAGAGTCAAGACCCTCTTTGTAGTAGCAACGATCACTTAATCAGTGGTTTAAGCTTGAGTTAATCTTTTCATTTCTCCACCTAAAAGTTAACACTTGATTTGGGCTATTGAATCAAATTGCACTTTAGACTTTGAAATCGAAGTAAAGATAAAATGTTTAATTAGCTAAGAGCAAGAAATATTATTGGCCAACATTAATTTAATTACACAGATTTACATAGTTCACCACTATTGCACTCTTTTATCTATTTTGGTCACTAATATAAAACAATGAAGGAAAAAAGTTTATAGTATAAAAATGTCTATAAATTGAAAAATTATACGCACAAGTTTGTTATATTGATTGAGTTTAAAGTATAATTTTCTTAAGAAGAATGTTAAAGATACTTATTTAAATACTATTTATGATAATATTTTAACATTAAATCTAGTAACATAATAATTAATGTGGTAATTTTCAATATATTTTAAGAAGATCGAACTTCGTATAGTAACTTGAACAAATGTTGTTGTGATACTCATTAACAAAATCCTATAATTCATTACTATTTTTTTTCAATCTCCTGAAAGAAATACTTCCTGAAATACACGGTCTCATGTATAAGCAACATTGCGGCCCTCAGAAGGTACAGTGAGCCCCAAAAAGGCAATGGTGATTGGGTTGGACATGGCCCGTAAACTGGAAATGGGCTCCCAAGGTTTAGCCCTAAAAGACTAAAACCTGACCTTCTTCTCCGCACCCTGTCCACTGTCCGGCAACCGAGTCCCTTCATCACCCGAGAGAAGAAAGAACACTCCTCCAATTCAGTTGAAAGTAGAAGCTCTCTAATTTTGCCAACATCTTCAGAGAAATGTTAAGAGCCCTGTCTTTGACACGAACCTGCCTCAGGTCCCGATGTCAGTCCCTCTCCCACCGACCTTCTCCTTCTCCATTTTCCGTTCTCTCTTCACCATACTCAACTTCAAAGCAGCAAAACAGAGGGACTGAAGATGACCAATACACCACCGTTTCAGTTTTCAACAGGGACCCAACTGACCCACCTCGGCTCTTCCTCGTCCAGCCCCGTCTCCGTCCCGCCACTTTCTTGCAGGCTAAGCTCAACGAGGCTCTTTGTCTAGCTAATTCCCTCGAGGAACAGCGTGGTGGGTACTTCGACACTGATTTCTTCGACAAGGAGTTGCCTCCTCATGTTGTTGTCCAAAACCCTTCTCTTATATCTTCCAAAATCCGCCCAGGTATCAAAAATCTTTTGGTATTTTCCTTTTTGACTCTTTTTCACTTAGGGAACATTTAGTTGTTAATTTTTACTACTTCCTCATTGTTTACGATAATGAAAGGGAAAAATGTGTGTTAATACAGAAGGAACATTTTCAAACATTTCTTAGTTTCAAATTTGTTTCTTGAGTAACAATAAAATTACGTTACAATTGAATTATTTGTTTATTTTTTTTCAAACTTGATTTGAAATGTTATTATATATGGAAAAGTAAGTAGTCAATGTAATTGTAAAACAGTGCTTACTATCTTGTACTCGATTCAGTTTTGGCTTGTTTTGGGTTGCTTGATTAATTGCCTTTCGATTTTATTGAAAAGCTATTCTTTTTGGGTGTTTTAGCTTTGTTAATTATGTTTTTAGACACTTTTTCAATATTTTGTTCTTGAATTCTGTTTTATTTTATTTCTAGACACGTATTTTGGACCTGGAACTGTACAAAACATCAAATGCCATTTGAATGCTGTCGAGTCCAAGGCAAGGAGCTTCGTATAATCTTTCTTCTTATCTTTGCAGTGGCATAGCCAGAATTTTTGCTGGGGTCATACTCATATACTAATTCACATAATATAAACACATACTTTTTAACATTGTATTATTAAAAACACTTTGCATTAAATCTAAAAACTTTAAATATTCAAAAAGACTTAGTATATTATATATTACTTCCAAAAGTTCTTTTTCACAATGAGATACTTTACCATGCAGTCACGCCTATGATATAATCATCCTTGAATATTACAAATTATGTTGGGTATTATTTAGTTATTACTTTTGTTATTTACATATTGCTTTGCAAAACATGTGTTTAGATACCAGAATAAACAAATGATTCTCATTAGAAAGAATTAAAATTAATCTTTGTGCATAATAAAATGCATGATTTTACTCTTATTAAGAACAATTATATTTGAATATACGTCACCTTTCACATTTTAATCAAATAACTAATTAATATATAGTCAAATTTATGCAAATTAAAAGACTGTTTAACATAAAGCTACATATTACTTATTGTCAATATAAAAATGGATGAAAACTCTTTATGTTTGACCCCCTTTCTTTATGTTTTTATTTAATTTGAGCGGGTTCAATACAAAAAATTTACAAAAATTTTACTACATATATATATATATATATATAACCTAACTTTTTAAAAATTGACCCCACTAACCACTATGTTGCTACGCCCCTGGTTCTTTATCATGAGTGAATGATTTTCATGGAACTGTGGAAGCCTTATCTATAACAATATGATTTTACTAGGATGAAGTTGATGCTGTCTTCGTCAATACCATTCTGTCTGGAATACAGCAACGTAATTTGGAGGCAAGTAATGGCTGCCTACTTTCTTTCAGTCTTTTGGTGGCAAGGCCAACTCAAGCTATAGTCCCACGTGCTTGGGTAATATATTTTCTTGTTTTCCATTTTCAATGACAGCGAAGTTGGGGCAAACCTGTGTTAGATCGCGTGGGCCTTATAATAGAAATATTCAATGCTCATGCACATACAAAGGAGGCAAAGTTACAGGTGCAGTTCCTGCCTTTACTTGGCATGACATTGCATTTTGAATTCCTCTATTTGTTTTCTCTTAAACTGGTTTATGCACTTATTTATCATCCAATTAGGTTTACGATGGAACCTAGAAATCAGGAGGTTGTCCTTTTAATATTTTGCAGGCAGAATTAGCAGCTCTTATGTACAAGAAGAGTAGGCTTGTTCGTGTACGTGGAGCAGACGGACGCTATACTTTTGGAGTTACTGGAGAAGCTGAAGTTGTTAGTGCAAGAGGGTGAGGCCTGAATTTCTTGTAGAATAGGACTGGACTGTAAAACTTGTGAACATTTGTATGTATAGCGTATATTCGAGTGAAATCCAAGATGATTTGAATACATCTGACCATAATTCAAGTTGTTTCTGATTCTTATTATGAAGCCAAAAGACCTGATCTAAACTAGTTCTTTCTCTCTCTGGTTTTGTCTTGCTCTTGCACAAATTCTTTGATGTGTTTCTTTAACTTAACTAAAATAAAAAAAAATAATAAACACTATATAAATTGAGAACAACGTAAAAAATGCAAAGCTTTACTGGGCGAGATCATGGATCATGATGTATTCATTTTGGCCAATCTTCTCTTTCAATAGTTGAAATCTTACCATGATTCAAATAATTTTTTTGTAAACAATTATCAATCCATAGAATGATTTTGAAAATGGATAGTTATTGATTGCAGGAGAGGAAGTGGGGGTCGTGGTTTCATCAGTGGTGCTGGAGAAACTGAACTGCAGCTTCAACGCCGAAGGTTTGCTCTTCATACTAATTTCATAATGATTTCTTGTTACCATCTTGTGTACAAAATTATTGTATGAAACTGTCACTGGTACTTATTTATAAATTTTTGATGAGTTGCATATTATGTAGCTTTTGTGTGGTTGTTATGAGCCACAAATACAATTGTAAATATTTGTGATTTCTAATCTTGATGTGTCGGAATCTCTTTTCTTGATGGGCAATATCTGTTTATTGTTATTATTATTATTATTTCGCCATTGGCTTCCCCTCCTTCGTAGCCCAATACTATTTAACAATGTCTGTACTTCTGATACTTAAGTTAATGGGAGCTTAAGGTATTGTACTTTAGCATTGCCTTGTTGGTTGTTCCTTTCTTTCTAAGATGGTTGTATGAATGAAATGCTTGTTATTTTATCAGAGGTCTCAAGCTATCCATAACAATGAATATTTTATTAATTCCCTCTCCTCACACCCCAATTTTTGGATCTGATTATGGGGATGGGGCATGTTTCAATCTCTATAGGATATTGCATTTTCATATATGAAAAAAAAGCTAGGTACTTGTCATGGTCTTTGTCATCATAATACATTTTAACTTTGTGTGTGTTTATACTGGAACTTAATCACAGAATCTTGGAACGGCGGAGTCATTTGTTAACCCAGATTGAAGAGGTTCGCCGTACTCGAGCTGTGCAACGTGCAGCTCGCAAGAGACGAGGTGGACTTGATGGTCAAGGTTTAGCTACTGTTGCTGTTGTAGGGTACACAAATGCTGTAGGTGGCCATAATCTGACCAGAACTTCACCTTTTAACTACCATGCAAACAAGTTAGAACTTCCTATGTTTTTCTTTTCTACCCTTTTCTCTTGCTAAACATTTTCCCTATTTTCTCAATTAACAGGGGAAATCTACATTGATTAGTGCCCTCTCAGATAGTGATCTGTATAGTGATGCAAGGTATATCTATCCTTAAAACATTGCTCATTAAAGTTAGATTCCTTGTTATAGGAGGGTGAATGTTTTTGCATAATTGGAGGCATTGACTTTGTGCAGATTGTTTGCAACATTGGATGCTAGATTAAAAGGTGTTGTTCTTCCTTCAGGGTGAGATGATCCACATCAAATCTAATTATACTTTCCCTCAAATTTTGACACATGAAGATGAACATTTCATTTTAACTATTGATGAGAATAAAATCTCATTCTTCATAAATATGCATATAATAATTCAGGAGGAAAGTACTTCTTAGTGATACTGTGGGATTCATATCAGATTTGCCTGTGCAGGTAACTGAGAAGCATGTGTATATGTGCCACTGATCCCTTTTTTTTCCTTTGCTATTTTTGGTCTTCTATCATCTTTTTTAGAATTGGAATTTTGCTCTTGCAGTTGGTTGAAGCATTTCATTCAACCTTGGAAGAGGTGGTGGAGGCTGACCTCCTTGTGGTATGACTGGATAACCTGTCCTCTTTTTTCTTTTTCAAAAAAAAATTATTTACTTGTGTGCTGCCATTCAGACATTTTCTTATCTGATCTTTTCAGATTCTTTTATAGTTCCTGTTTCTGATGTTATGGTCATCTTTTGTCAATCAAAGCTGAGTAGGACCAGTCAGCAGTATCTTGTTTGTAGAGTTTCTCTCTGCCCCTTAAAAAAAATCCCGAACTTACATTTTTTGTATGCTGTGGAAGCAAGGAACCTTAGGAAATGATTCCAAATAGATTTCGTTCTGAAACAGTTGAGAAGATAGTATCTTGTTTAAAGAATACTGATAGCTGTCTCTCAGTCTTGCCCTCTTTCACTGGGTTTGGCCCAGTGGCTTATCCTTCTCTGGGAGCAGTTGCGTTTGCCAATGCTCCTACAGCCCAGATATATCCTCTCTAAGAGTTCTATTTATCATGCAAATCAAGGCTTTGTTATTACTTACTATTATTGTTGCTGAATTGCTGTTGTTTTTAGTGGTCGATTTCTAAAAGAATTTTTGCTCATATGATCAAATAGTTTAAGTAAATCCAATTAGTAAGCTCTGATGCACAATAATTGAAAGATGATCAGTGTAGACTTGTATGCATCATTATTCAATTATCTCTTCTTTGGGTAGACAAGTTTATATGAAATCATCCCTCAAATCAGAGAAAATCAGGATTGGTGTGTCCTTCAGATAGCTGATGAATTTTTCCAAATATTTCTGCAGCATGTAATAGACTGCACTGCACCTAATCTTGATGAGCATCGTTCCACGGTGTTGCAAGTTCTTCGGCAAATTGGAGTGTCAGAGGAAACGCTTCAGAACATGATTGAAGTCTGGAACAAGGTACTTTAATACATTTTTTACCTCTCCTCCCTCCAAATATTTAAAAGGAAAAAAAAAATCAAGAAGATATTTACTAATTTTGCAATCTGTTCAGATTGATTATGAAGAAGAAGTGGGTGCTGATGTATATATTGATGATGGTGAGGAAGATGCTGAGATCAGCAATTTCTCGGGAGCAGAAGACGGCAAGACTAACAGTTCTTCAGAAGTTGAAGATTGTAACATGGCATCCGAGTCATTAGATGGGAAGTCAGTTGATAATTGTGTTGCCGGTAATGCTGATGCTGATGGTAGTGATGTATTTAAGCCTTCACCTGGAGACCTTCAAGAGACCATGGATGACAAGCAAGGCGATTACTCTGACGGCTGGCTGTTGTCAGGGGATGACTCTGCAGATGACTACTGGAATACCCTGAATGACCGACAAACTGAGACCTCTAATGACTGGATGCTGGAAAAAGATTCTCAATCCCAATCTCAGCATGTTCCACAGGTCAAAGTATCTGCCCTAACTGGAGTAGGCTTGCAAGAACTGTTGGAAATCATTGATGATAGGCTTAAGGTGCATGATGATAAACTAAAGTCTCAAAATGTAGAGGAGTGCAGTTTCTTTGATCGAAAATGGAGGCCCCCTCGTAAAGAAGATGAACAGGTAGCAATTGAACAATGATAACAGCAGGCAATTCATATTCTCGACCGCGGTTAGTCTTAGCAATCATCACAATACAGTTGAAACCGCTGTGTGGCATGGATGATGAATAAGCCAGAGAAACTTCAGACAATTATTTTCCCTTGCTGGAGTATAGGGGAAGAATGTGAGAATTTCCTAAGCAAGAGTTGTAAGGGCGTGATATTTCAGGATACTCAAATTATGGGGCATATCAAGAATAACATTTCAGGATGAAGCTTGTTCTAAGGGCGTGATATTTTGGTTGAAGCTCACTTTTGTACCTGGGCAGGGGGAAAACATCTGTTTCCCTTCCTTCTTAATGGAATTCCTCTCATACCTTCCAAAAAAATAAGAAAAAAAAAAACAATAAAAGCGACTTGCCAAATACATAAGTCACTTTTGCAGATTGAACAAAGTGGATGGAAGGTCAGATCAATTATTCCGTTATTACAATTAACCAAAGTACATATCCACCATGCATCCCTCCATAAATATAGCTGAAAATGAAATAAAGGCAAGCTTTTGCCGATAAAGGGTCGCCTGCCACTACAAACTCCAGCTAGCGGCAACTAAACCAACAACGATCTTCCATCCAGTGTCACAATACGCAATGAGTGCAGTAATTATTCAACTTTTATCAATCTTTTTTGTCATATAGTGTCTTCCTAATGCTATTTTCACACAAATTAATCATCGATGAGAGTTTTCAATTTTGGGTCCAGGTGTTGTTCTTCTATAAAGGATTTTAAAATTTTTTATTGGTCTTTTGTTTTTTTTTATCTTTTTTGGGTTTTATTAAGCTTTATAAAAAAAATAAAGACATTTTATAGTAGTGTTAGTTATACTGATAATCTTTTTCTCAACGACGTCGTATTCCTTACCGACGCGCTGATAACTGTATCACAAAAGCGCTCCGTATAATGGCAACCCATATTTCTCACACGCGGATCTTAGCTGGGGCAAAATAAAAAATGCCAAAGCCAAACAGTGAAAATACTGCGTATCTGAGTCCCTTTCACACTTGATTTATTAAACTCCTTTGTAGTCTGTACTCTTTTTTAATACTAGCAAATGGCTTTAAATTCCTACTTAATCGAGTGCTAGACGAAAAAAGCGAAAACCAGGGCAAAACGACACTCAAAACACATCCACAGATCTAAGATCCAAAATCCAAATGCCCATTTCCAATTTCTCCCTCTAAGGTGAACTTCCGTTCTCTCTCTCGCTCCTCTGTCTTCCTGTATTTTCGTTTTGATCTCTTTTTTAGTTTCATTATTTCCTCCATTTTATCTAATATCCAAAGCTTTCTCATGCTTTGGATCTGCTTTCGTTTCGGTGTTTGTTTCGTTTTTTTTTTTTTCAGTTCTCATTTTGATTGTTTGGCAATGAATTTAATGTTTGTTCTTTCGATGAAGAAACTAAAATTTTGTGTAAATCTGATGTTTGTTTGGACAGTGTAAATAGTAATAACAAATTTTTAGAAGAGAGTAGCAACCAACCATGTCAAGGAGGCAAGTAAGTTCCACGCGCCGCTTTGTCGACAGCGGAAACTTTCCCTTCGCTGGAGCTTTACATTCCAAATCCCGATCTTCTCCCATTTTATCCATCGGTCTTGTCATTGTGGTATATCCGTCTATCTATCTTCTTCTTTCTTCAAATTTTTATTATTTTTAAAAGGGAAATTAATTGAGGTAGCAATTGTTTTTTTAATTAACTTTCAGGGAGCAATCCTTCTTATTGGCTATGCCTATAGTGGCTCAGGTATTCTTTAAATTATTTATTTATTAAATATGTTTACCAGAATTTCTTATTTGGATTTACTTGCTTCGTGGTTTAACATGCTGATCTTATTACTTCAAATAATTGGCCATAATAATCTTTTTTGGGGTATACAGGTAAATTCCGAGGTGAAGCAGTTAGTCGGATTGAAGGTAAAGTTTGTTTTCCCTTATTCCTCATTGGATTTGATTTTCAGAAGTGAATGAATAGGGAAGTTACTGTTTTTATTTGATTCTTATGAGCTTTTTGGTGCGATGTCTCTTTAGAACTACTTAACTACTTAGTGGATTCACTAATGCTATATTTGGAACATGAATTTGGATTTGGTTTATGATATAAATTGTGAGGATGAATGCACCCATTACGTAAAAATTAGTTAAGATTTGAAAAACCTATGTATTTGAGAGGTTGTAAGAAGATTATGATGAAAGTCATGCATTTGAAAATAATGATGAAAGTCATGCTTTAATGTGTTTCATCACCCAATTTATGCGAAATTTGAAATCTAAAAATCCGGTCTCCCAAATTCAAGTTTAGGCCTGCAACCTTAATAATTTGGAGAACATCATCAGGTAGTTTAGCATGTCTGTAAGATCACCAAATTCATCGGAGATTATATTTTGGATACAAATCTTAGAGCCTTGCTTCAGCATCTCATTGTTGTCAGTCTTATTTTCCTTTGATATACTAGAATTGCCATGCTTTGGAAATGGTATGTTTTCATTAAGTGTAACGTTCCAAAATTTAATTAATTTTCTTTTTATTTTTTATAGGTGACTATTCATGCACTCTAGAAGTTCAGAGGGCAATACCTTATTTAAAGAAGGCATATGGTGACAGCATGCACAAGGTTTTGCATGTAGGCCCTGATACCTGTTCAGTGGTCTCTAAACTTTTGAAAGAAGAGGAAACAGAAGCCTGGGGTGTGGAACCATATGACATAGAGGATGCTGAAGCAAATTGCAAGAGTCTTGTGCGCAAGGGCGTTGTACGTGTGGCAGATATCAAGTTCCCTCTTCCCTATAGGCCAAAGTCGTTTTCTCTTGTTATTGTGTCAGATGCCCTTGATTACTTGTCTCCAAAATACCTGAACAAGACTCTTCCTGAGTTGGCAAGGGTGGCCTCTGATGGTCTAGTTATTTTTGCAGGTAATCTCTTACTCTTTTAAGTTACATATAAATTATAAAATAAAAGTTAGGCAGAGAAATGCTGATATAGAGATATATTGGTTTATGAAGATAACTGTTTCACAGATGGAAAAATGTTTCTGATGTAACTACATGATAACCACAGTATTACTATTTAGAACACTTTCCTAGAGTATAGGTGCAGCCATGAGTGGTTTTTAGATGGATGTAGTACATATTCCCTTTGTGTTCTTTGTCAAACTGTAGATTCATGCAGCTTTTTACTCGCTGTGTTTGATCCTTTCTTTTGGTTTATTTGAATTTTAACAGCTTTCTTTTTCATGTTCAGGTTACCCGGGTCATCAGAGGGCTAAAGTGGCAGAATTATCCAAATTTGGGCGGCCGGTCAGTCTCTATCAACTCCTTACAACAAGGGGATTTGAAATTGAAATAGGCCACAGTATCTCTTTTAACTTTCATTTGATCAAAATTTTCACACCATTTTTGTTTTAGTGAGTCTTGTTTCTGGATATTGATATTATCATATTCCTGTTGGTTCTTTAGTCGGACTTTCAGTTACAGAATAAATAGTTGATCTGACCAAAGTATTGATGAGATTTTGTTGTGCTTAGTCAGAACTTGAAGTAGTCTAAAATGTTCAGCAAGAAAGAGGTCCCAAAGTTTGGACTTTGGTTGCATTTATCACTAAATTAGGGCTTGATTGATAAATTTGAAGTTTTGAGATAGTCTGGTGGGAACAAAGAAATATAAAAGGATATGCACATGCATTATTACCAAAGAGGTTGGGAGTTCATGTAATTTTTTCCATTTACTCCATTTGTGATCTTTGTTTCTGAATTTATCATTTAGCAGTAACTTTAAAGTGCCAAGTTGACCTTATCAATTATCATTAACATATCTGTTTCATTTGTGAAGGCCAAAATGCGGAGTTCATCTTGGTGGATTCGCTTTTTTGTCCAGACTAGCTTAGAAGAAAATGAAGCTGCCATTAAGAAGTTTGAGCAGGCTGCATCGAAGAAGTCATTCCAGTCAGCTTGTCAAGTGTTCCACCTCAATCCATACCACTGATAAAAGAGAAATTCATTAAGATAAAATTTTCATTAATTCTGTTTGTCATGCATTAGAAGGCGAAGTAAAATATCTTCAGCTCTCATATGAAATATAGCCAGTCGGGTAACTAAATTTGGTTAAGAGATGTTGTTGACATCACCTAGTGTTGTGCCCTTAACATTACAAAGTTGATATTTATTAATTTAATTGATAAGAATTTTACTGTTATTAGTTATCACACATGCATTTAATTTACTTTATTAAATAACTGTGGAGAATGCAACTCTTTTACCAGTATTTGTTTCCACACATGCATTTTTATTTAGCTTTGGACCTGTCTGTAGAAAGTTTCTTAGCTCATGAAATAGGGGACGGAACTCTTTCTCTTCCCATAAACCCTGCTTTTCTCCTCCGTGTTTGGTTTCAAAGCTCCATGGTTTACTTGTTAGGATGTCCTTATAAACATATGCAATTATAGAATTTTGATTTATCCAAATTTTGCTTTAGTCTCAGAATTGCAAGAGTTCCTTGTTGATGATGCATTTTTGGTTACACGAGGATACCAAAAAATTCATAATCTGTGATCCAACCCTTCAATAAAATATTTTGGATTCCTATAATAAAAATCAGTCGTCGCACGTTTTACAATCATCGGCCCGACAATTCGTAACAAGGAATCAATGAATAGATAGTTACAGGTTAGGGAATTGGAGTTTGTGGTCACTGGCAGCCGAGTCTAAAAGCATTACCAATAATCCCCGCAAGAACACTTCCCATCCTTGAAGCAATGAAACCGACGGGTATCCCTTACAGTGATTTCCCTCCCAGCAATGGCAGAAATAAACTTGATGGCATTATGGCAGTCTCCACATATTCTCAGGTTTTTAATCACAAGAATAGGCTCCCCATCTTTCGTTGAAAGCAGCCCAAATGCAACAGCTAGCTTCTCGCTATGCTGACCCAACCTTATCTCCTTCTCTCCAGGCTCTATCTCGTCATCCTTGACCAAAGTCCATCTCAGATCGGGAACATAGCCAGCTAGCCTCATCTTCTTCCCCATCTCCTCCTCCAAGTAATCGTAAATTTCTTTGATCATCGGGTGTGAAATATCTTCAGCCACAAACACATGAATTCTTTTATTCACCTCAATCCAACTACAACCTGGTTTCTTCCTTACGCCTCTGTCTCGCATAAGCTTTCTAACTGTAGCCACCTCTTCCCATTTGCCGCTGCTGGCATACATATTTGCAAGCATGACATAAGGTACAGCATTTGAAGGTTCCAGCTGAAGAAGCTGGTTTGCGGCCTTTGATGCTAGTTCTATGTTTCCGTGCATTTTAGAAGCACTAAGCAGTGCAGCCCAACCAATTGAGCCAGGGCTAAATGGCATAGTCTCTATAAGCCTCTCAGCTTCACGTAGCTTGCCTGCTCGACCCAAAAGATCAATCACACATGAATAGTGTTCCACTTCTGGTTCAATTCCAAATTTTTCCTTCATAATGTTGAAAAACTTCTGACCGTCCTCAAGTTTTCCTGTGTGAGCACATGCTGAGAGAACAGAAATGAAGGTTATGCTCGTAGGGGAAATATTTCGCTCCAGCATCTGCTCAAAAAGAAGTAATGACTCCTTCCCAATTCCATGTTGTGCATAACCAGCAATCATTGAATTCAAAGAGACAGTATTATGCTCTGGCATCCTATCAAACAACCGTCTTGCATCCTGAAGATTTCCACATTTTGAGTACATAGCAACCAGGGCATTATGGACTTGAATTCGATTAGGGATTTCAGATTTGATAGTTAGTGCATGAATCTGTCTTCCCTGAGAAGGAGATGACAAATTGGAGCATGCGCTAATTACATTCACAAAGCTACAATCATCAGGGTGATAACCAACACGTTGCATCTCCTGGAAACACTCAAGAGCCTCCTCAGCAAGCTCCTCATTCAACGAATACCCCGAAATCATAGTGTTCCAAAGAACCAAATCCGGTCCAGAAACCTCTTCAAACACTTTCCTACAATCCGACATACCACCTCCACACTTTGAATACAAATCAATCAAACCACTCCCAACGTGAGCATTTTGATGAAAGCCAGTCTTAATCAACATAGCATGAAATTGAAACCCTCCTAACAAGTCCTTTAAACTAGTAAATGCTGTCAAAACACTGGCCAAAGTAAACATATCAACAACCAATCCTATCCTAACCATTTCCTGAAACAGAGCCAAAGCTTTTGCTCCCTCTTGATGCTGCCCATACGCCACGATCATTGAATTCCACGACACTTCATCTTTACCCTCTCCCATCCCATAAAACACCCGCTTCGCCTCCTCTAAAAGGCCCTCTTTACTATAACATGAAAGCAAGGCATTGTTAACCGAAGCATATGAATCAAACCCACCGAAAACCAGAAAGCAATGCAACTGCCTAAGCAAAAACAAGTCATTTAAACAAGCCGTGATCACCCCGGACAAAGTAAAGCCATCCATTTCAAAACCCAACTCTCTCATTTTTGTAAACAACCCCAATGCAGGTTCAGTCTTACCACAATCTGCATACGCAGAAATGAGAGTGTTATAAGAAACAAGGTCTGGTTGAGGGATTTGATCAAACAGTTGATGGGCAACAAAAGGGAAGGATTCCTTAGCGTAGGCAGCGATGATGGCGTTGAAAGAGAATGTGTTGGGGTCTTGGGTTTGGTGAAAGGCGTAGTGGGCGGCGGCTAAGTGGCCGCATTTGGCGTAGAGAAGGATGAAGTGGTTGGAAAGGTAAGTTGAAGAAGGGATGAGAGATTTGATGTAAAGAGCGTGGAGGGATTTGCCTGGTAAAAGGTTTCTGAGGGTTATGCATGTTTTCAACAGGTTGCGGAAGGTTTGGATGGTCCATGAGATCTGGGTCATTTGCCATCTTTACGTAATAGTTCGTTCATTGCATACAAATACACAACAGGCTAAGGTATGTGTCAACAAAGCCAACAAGTTTAAAGCAAGGTTTATTTAGGCCCTGCAGTGTGAAGTTTGGACCAAGGAGGAGAGGACCATCTAGCCCAATCATGCACCCACTACTCTTTTGTTGGTCTAACCAAGGGAAGAACTTGGGCTAGAGCATGATTTCTCAGCCTAGGCTCATTAAGAAAAAAGCATAAGATCATATCTTCCCACCCTCATTATTGTTTAGAGGACCAAGCAAAGGTTCCGTCACGCCAAGCAATTGGAAATGGAGCATCCAAGTCGTTTTCATAAAGGGTCATGTTCAAAGCCTCCCCACAATTCCCAAATAAGAAGGGAAAAAGAGAAAACATAACAAACGTAGGCGATGGCCCAAAACTAGCTGTTAGGATGTGGAAATGGTTCTAAGTTGGCTTGGGTCCATGAACTCCAAGATTGTCAAACGGGCCTTAATTTGTAACGCATGACAAACGCTGTTTTCCTTTGCACCACTTCATTCCACAAAATTATCAATTTATTGCCATGCTCTCACAAAAAATATAAATTTGCATTATCCAATGTCTGAATTCCCATATATCCGTCTTGGTAAAGATAATTAATACATTCATAAATCATGCTCCCACCCATTTGTTGTAATTTGCTTCATTAGTATACCTATGTCTCACTATGCCAAACCCTCGTATATATCTGAAGTCATGTATTATCACTCTGCTCCATGTATTTTGTTTCCAGGCACACACACCAAAGGCAATTGAACTATATAGTGCCTAAAGTTGGTCCGGAACATATCTTAAATTTCAGAGGAATTTTAGCCTTTCTTTTCATTTTAATTTCAAAATTGCTAGGACATGGACTGTGACTTTTCTTTTTTCTTTTATTACCTATTTCCATGTGACTCATGCATTTACTATCAAATAATTAAATGCGAACAAAATTTAGAGGTGAGATCCATGCATTTACAAATGCACGTAAAAAAAAAAGTATTCATATAATACGATTGTACATAAAAAAAAAAGTACTTACATCATTAAATTCGAGTGTCGTACCAACCCTTATAATTAAATTTTGTTCCCTGATCTATTACCTTCCTATGGAAGTAGGTCAAGAAAAAATAAAAATCCTAGCATGGTAGCTTCTCATTTTGGTTTTTGTTATGGCTCTACCAGATCCCCTATAGGCCATAGGGACAAAAACGTATGTTCATTCCCCAAAATTATAGAATCACTTGTTAACTTTGCATAAAGCAAAGGATAATGACAAGTGACACCCGATTAACACTTCAGCTCTAAAAAAAATGATGGAAACGAGAACTACTTGTAGTGTTTTGAACAGAAACCTGCGGTCTCCCCAAATGGTATGCATTTCAGGCCCAGCATGCATGGCATATTGAAGCGTAGGCCACAATATTGGGGCACCAAATTAAACAATCGCTTTCAAGCTAGGCTGGAGAGGAGTCTCCATCTACCGCGCAATCAGGGCAAGCCGCATGGCCTGGTTGGGATTGTTTTTGATAATGAATGAGTTACTGCAGCCAAATAATTAGAAACAGGCTCATCTGTGAGACCCTTTGATGTGTGAGAGAGATACACTCCATGCTCACACTGTTAACATCTCGACCCACTTGGATACAACTATAGACAAAAAACAATTGTCAAGGGTGTCCTAAAAGGAACAGCCCAAGACTAAGACTTGGTTTTTAAGGGGTCCATTGTCCATGGTCTACAGTTTGTAAAGCAAGTACAGCAAAATCAGACAATGGTGTACAAAACCAAACCGTAGCGTGAATTTCAAAGAGCCTAAATGAACTAAATTTATTGTGTATATAGGGATATAATGGAATGATATGTCAGCTAGGTTTATTTGGCATATCAAATTATACAATGTGAATGAAAGAGAAATGTTGCTTTCTAGTCATTGTTGGATATCTTTGTCGCAAGGTCAATTTGGTTGATGGCAATTAATTGTGGGTGGCCAGATTTCAATGAGTGACGACGAGGATGTATTCTCTAATTATTTTTTAGGATGTTTCTCGGATACTCAGTTACTGATCCGAGTTTGACCTGGTAAATTTATAGGTCAATTTTTCCATCTAGAGTAATTAATCTTTGCTCTCTTTAATTTCTTTGCTTCTTTTTTGGGTGCTTAGGTTCAAATTACATAGTTTCTTGAGTATTTTTTGGTGTAATACAGCCTCAGATAGTCTTTGTTGCGTGGAGAGAAGTAGTTAGTATATGGGATAAGGGGTCAGGGAAGTGTTCCCTGGCACTCGGGAAGCTGTGAAGCTATGAAATAAGGATAGCTGATTAGCATTTTGGATCTCTACCATTAAGATAGATATGTTTAGTCCAATCAAACGACATGAGAATTTATAAACTAAGATGAGTTCAATTAACTATTTCTAAATTGATGCTAAGCATCCTAATTTTTTTTTAAAAATAAAATATCAAAAGATGTGATTGTTGTGATATGATCTCGACATATCACATTTAAAATACCTAATTTATTTACAAATATAACACGTCAAGTGTATTGACAAGACATTCATTTTGTTAAAAAAAAAATAAAAAATGATCATCTTAGATGTAAATAAACTTAGTTGCAATCTCATCAACTTTATTCCTTAGTTTCCCCAATACACTGAAGAACATAGCTGGACATCTTTGGGTTACCATGAATTTAACTAGTGGTAACATCCCCAGACATCTAGTTAATTAGATTAATAATTCTTAATGAGTTGATACTGTTTTAAATTTCTCTGCTTTGAAGTGAGCAGCAAGCCCTGCAGCTCAGAATAGACGTTGTCTTAATTTGAAGAACTTGTAGATCCAACCAAAACTAATGCACGAACATGAAACATCACATCACTTTAACGCTAAGGTTTGCTAAACCTTACCAGACCACTTTGGATAAGAACCATCGAGCCGTTTTTGAGCTTCCAAGAAAACGAAGTTGAATTTATCTA